TGTGCATGTGTGTCAAGGACAGAAAGGCAGATGTGGCAGTGGAAGGTGTCAAAGCAGTTTGGAGAGAAAAACAAAGTAAAGAACAACAAAAAAAATTGACTATTAGATTAGCTTTCGACAATTTTAATAGTTGATTAGTCATCAACTAGTCAACTAATCATGGCAGCCCTAATCTTTAAGCCTCAAAAATCTGAAATACTCACAAAAAATCTGTATTGCTCACACACAATACAACAATGCAGCACAGAGAAGCAGGGAAAGGAGGACGGGGAGAGGTGGGGAACTTATTTCTAGCAGCAGAGCAGGTTGGGAGATAGTTATTTCTTTTTATTAATTCTTATGTCCTACAGGCTCTGAGACGTGGAATAAAACTGAAGCCGAGTTTTTAAAAATATTTGTGACATTTCTCTAAACATCCATATACTAGCAAAATGGGGGGAAAACATAATGTAAGGACTATCCATACAATTTGACACATACAGTATGCAAAAGTATAAAAATACATTTGCCTTAAACCTATTTGCAGATAAGCAATAGTGAGTTTTCATCATGTAATATATAAATCTGACATCTTTGTTGTTGTTATCCAAATAAAGTCTTGATTTAATTTGAAGGGAAAACTGGAGTTGTAAAAGTTGTAATGAATACAATTTAGTGAGCTGATAAAAATTCTCTTTGAACTACAGCAAAGGGCCAAAACTCATTATTAAATGGTTCAGCCAACAGTACAGTATGTGTAGTCTGTCATCAGGATATTACCACTATTGATGATTTTTCCAACATACCTTGCCAGAAGTAGCTGCCAGGCCCACCCAGCACCACTTTGCCATCCTAAAAAATAACATGTGTTAGGATGTAAAACAAAAAGGAAACAGCCTCTTGTTCTGAAGAAAATGGAATAATAGTTATTACCCTTGTAAAGTCAGCACTGAATCCCCCCTGACAGTAGCCTTGTCCTTCTGCATCACTAATCTCTAAAACACAAAAAAGGAGTAGGCAATCAAGCTGCAGACATTCTTTTATAAGCATGAATATGAAAACTCACCTCAAATGACAGGTTTTAAATAGTGTTAGTGAGTTAGTGAATTACCTGTTCGACAGGGAGCATATTCTACAAATTTGGTAAAATTCTGGACTGAGAGGTAGCAGGTTCCTGTAGCATCAGAACGGGGGATATCCTTTTCAGTTCTCCAGGAGTACAGTGGGGCGCAAGCCTGTAGTACACARTATCACAGTGTGAAGGTCACATGAGCAGTGGAGACGTGCTGATAAAAAGAGTGAACTTTTAAATGGAAAAAGTTTTCCCACTTCCACATATGCTTGCTACGCTTAGAAGAAATCTGAAACTGAAGCCAGTGGTTCAGTAGTATTTAGAGTTTTATGTAACTCAACCCAGATCAGTACAATCAGCCAAGTGAGCTCCGACGTCGCAGTGACACAAAACATGTTCAATATTTTGAGATTTAGGATAAAAGACTGAATCGGAAATATCAAAACATCCAAAAGACAATACTCTCTCACTTCTTGCAATTAAAGTCAAACATCACATGAAGTGTCTCAAGGYTAAGACCCTGTATCTATCTGGGCTGTGAATGTTGCTGACAAATTACAAATATTTGCAGTTGAGTTTTCCAAAATGTTCTTGTGTGTCGAATGTGTTGCAGGGCTTCTCGTCTGTGTTGGTTGGAATGGGGAACATGTTTGTAAAATCTGCACTAAACGTTTTATCTTAGAATAATTACAGCATCATTGTGGGCACCTGGAATGAATTTCAGGCCCTTTTCAATTAAAGTTCTGTGTGTTCATAAAATGTGAGACAACATTGGGAAGGTTTGGCAACACGCATGTAAAACCAGAATACAACTGATTGGAAACAAAAACAACTTCCTAAATTGCATTAAAGCTGAGACATAATTAACATACATTGAGACTAAATTCCAACCAAAAACAAATCTATATATCATTTGCAGCAATGTTGTTTCAAAGACCAAAATTATTTACAATGATATATGTCTTGAAATGTTGCATTTTAAACTAGTCATCAACCGTTGCAGCCCAGGGAAATACTGGCTTAGCTCAGCAACTTTTAAAGCCCAGTAATACCAGTGAACAGTGATAATGTACAACGCCGTAACCCATTTACATGCTTGGTGTGTTTGGGTTTTGTGTATCTTAAGTTTAATCGTTTAGGAGTCCTTCTGCTTTGTAAGTAAATTTTTGATTTACATATGCTAGCATCTTTGGTCATGATAGACAAGACAATTAGGACATTTTAATCCTTATTTACAATAATGTGCAATTCAGTTTAGTTTATTATATAGTGTCAAGTCACAACAAATGCCTCGGGGCAGGGTGCTGTACTGAAAGTAAATAAATACATCTAAGGAAGCCAGCAGATTGCACTGAATTGGTCTTCCATCCTGAGTAGCACATTGGCGACAGTGAAAAGGAACAAAAAGTATCTGAAAACTTCACCAAGGAGGCTGATCTTACCAGAATTGTGTCACCATGAGAACGCACAGTGGCACCAAACCACTGATGAGACTTGAAGTCAATTTGGTACGATGTGGTGTTGATCACTACATGGCGATCTCCTGTGATAAATAAAAAAAGACAAAGTTATACCAGGATGAATAAGCCCAGTTTCCTTTAGCTGGACCTCAAATATCTTAATTATGCTTACAGCTTCCTCTCAGACTGCTGAAAACATCTGTGTAGCTCTTAAACAGCTGGAATTGTGAACTCCAGCTACACAATTTTTCACGCAAAGATTATCCGGGTGAGAGTTTGAAAAGTATGTCACCACAGTGGTTTCAGCTTGCCAGGTCTGGACTGGACCAGCCTTGGCTGACCCTTCTGACCCTCTGCTCTGTTTGGCCACCTGGTTTTGTGAGCCTGATCTCCCACTTTGACATGAGCAGGTGACATGGCAGATGGTCTCAGAGTCAGGTTTGAGCTCAGCTTTATTGGAAAACAGATGTTACATTTGTGCAGCGATAAAGAACAAAATGCAAATAAATTTATAAGAGAAGAAGKCCGCTCAACCCACCAGGGTGTGATGGAACATCTGTAGAAGAAGAGCAGATTCTGGCAGGAGTGATAGATTATACTGATCTATCCATGCCAGTGTGTCTCTACCATTTCCTGCCAGCCAACTATAGGCAGCCTGACGCTGAGGAGGAAGGTTTGCTCCGTCTCTTTGTGGAAACAGCCTTGAGTCTGGGGTCCAAGGAAAACATACACACTCCGGCCTGGCTTCCTCACAGCAACTTCCCATTCGTCTGTTTAGGCACACTCCTTACATTGCCGTTCTTTTTTTTTTCAACACTATCTCAATTTTCCTGTTCATTTTTTTTACACCGTCTCACCCAGATTTCCTCGTCTGTGCAGCACATTTTGTTATTACTTCACAGGATGGCCCATGTGTTCTCACTCACAAGCTAAGCAGATTATAAATGCAAAATAAGATTTGGTGATGTGTCTTATCTACGTGAGACTGAATTGTCATGAAGAATAGTCGACCAATACTGGCTCTGCAAAGACTGCTTTGTAACAGCCAATGTGTCTGTAAAAAAATAAAATAAAAATCAGCTCTCACTGTCTAAACAGCAGATATTTCCTGCCATCAGGCTCTGGTTGTTTGAGCTGTTTTACTCCAATGAGATTTTTGTTTGATAATGCGTTTATAAAATTGCCATGTTAGTCAGTGATTTTACCATGACACAGACAGATGTCTACCTTTTATTACTGTATGGCTGCTTTTGTTTTGTCTCTGTTGCTTTAGGAAAGAAGGATAATTAGAACACTGGGCTTGACCAGGAATAGTTTGCTATGAACTTTGGCAGCAGGACATGAAGCTGATGAAATTTGAAAAAGAAAAAAAAAGACTGAACTGAATTTGTGATATCTTTAACATTTTTTTGTGTTTGTGTGTGTTCATAATTAAAAAATTATCATTTTTGGAAATTTTACCACAGAATGTTAAGCTTGGGTTGATGATGCTTCTGTGAACTCAAACTTTTTAAAATGTTTGCAAACTCTTCTCATTTCAACTTTATACTTCTTCCACAGTTTATATATCAAAATGAAGGCATCTTTTTCTTTCCTTTTTTTAATTCAGTGTTTTTCTTACTGCTTTTGGACTTTTTCCTAAATCCCCTCCAGAGTGCAAACTGTCAAAATCCAAACTCTCATTAACTTTTACTGTATCAAAACGTAGAATGATGAATGTTGAAGTTTGAGCTGTAGTTTTGTTAGCACCCTTTCAAAAATATTTTTTGGAAATTTCCTTGATTTTATAGATCTACAAAATTTCTGATCAAAATCTACAGTTCATCAATGTTTTCATTCTACACATTCTGCATGAGCGATATGGTGCCAAATGCCAGTTCAGCTKAGGTTTGCTGAAGCTGAAACACTAACCATGTTTTCATCCCATTTTTATTGGAATTTTGAGCAAATATTTAAAATTTTGCAAAAAGGAAAAAAAAGAAGAAATGCAAATCCGATGTGTTTCCATCAATAGCTTGAAGCGAATCAACCAGGCTACATGAAGTAATTACGCCAGACGTTGGCATTACGCATGGCTGTAGTAAACCAGAAGTGAGGTCACAAACTTGCACACATCTCAGGGCAAAGGAGATAAGTTATCAGGATTGTGTTGCTACTATCAGAAAATCAACTAGTTTTGGCGATATTATGCTGTCCGGAGACGTAGTGAAAGAAATGCTTTTATTCTCTTCACGTTAAGGGAATATCTGAGAAGACTCCAACAGCGGGAGGAGGGTCCAGCTGCAGTCGGTACCAGTACCAAACAGCCAGCGGGAACAGCTGATCAACCATTTGAGGTAAATGTTTGCTATGTCAGAACTTATTTGGCAAATGTTTCCATCTCTCCTTTTGCGCATTAACTCTTTTTTGAAAAATCAGAAAACCACCTCGAGCAAACGTATAAACTTTTTTGTGAAATAGAGTATGTTTTTTTTAATCGTGCCATTTCCATTCACCTTTTCTATTGCAATACGTCCAAATGAGCAAAAAAAAAACTTGTTGATGGAAATATAGCTAATGTTGGTTTGACTTGGGAACTGAAAATAGCATTGCTACACATAGGCTGTGTCCAAAGCGGTGGGCCGGGTCCTCTGAAGGCCGAACTCATCGGCCGCATACGTCACAGCGCCACGACGAAGGCCGCCCAAAACCGAAAACTCCTCCGATGCTGCCGACAAATGCGTCCTTCCTTTGGCCCGAATCGAAGGACTGGTCCGATGGATCCTTCCCGACCCACCGTATCCCATAATGCACTGTGTCCCGACCGGAGATTTTTTATGCTAGTAATGGTGGACGAAGCCAGAGAAAAGAATATGTTTTAAATAAAAATATGGCGATATAAAGTTTTAAATTTTCCAGCAGTTGTGTTTTTAATACTTTTATCATTTGTATAGATGTGTTTTTAAATACTATTTTTGTCAGAGAAAATATGCGAAATAAACACGCCCCTATGGCGGGTTCAATAGTTCTTGAATTATTACCTTTATGTTAATTTTCTTGTTTTGTGATATTAATAATGTTAATATATTGATATTTTTCTATTTTCGATCTAATTTTGCTTCTGTTTAGCGTCGTCGCAGTAGGCGACATGACGTACGCCGAGGTAAGGACGGAAGGCTAGACCATCCAAATTCACAGCCTCTTTTTTCCGGTCTTGCCGGTCTACCAAGAACCCGGCCCACCTCGAGGGAATCACATGAAATGCTTTGGCGTGATAATGGGGGAGATCCACAGGGGTAGATTAATAAGAGGCAGATCTCCAAGTAAGTTATCAGACAAGAACACTCCCCCATTCTGCCTGTACGGGTGCTTAGTGCAGCTGACGTGACACAGTGCCAGGTCCGGTCTCGCCCAGGGTCAGTGCAGGACTCAGGGGATCTGGAGTGTGTCTACAGACTCACTCTCAGCTCTTAACTGTGTGTGGGTGAAGATCCATTAGAGGGGTTAAAGCCTCTCGTGGTAAGTGTGTGTATTTTTGTGTGCGTCAGCAGGGTGGAAGACAAACGGTCAAATTCACTCATCACATCAGCTGGCCCTGTGGGAGTAGCAGAAGAAAGGTGAACGGAGCGGAGCGATGGGGGCTCTGGTTCCCCCCACCTTTCCTCCAGTCCCCTCCCTCACTTCCTCCAACCGTTAGTGCTCTCTGAAACCCCTCTCCTCCGCTCGAGTTCATAGACAAGCTCTTATCTCAATGGAAGAGGAAGTGTAAGGGTGGGGGATTCAGGCCACTTTGACCCAATTAGTTAGGCTAATTAAGAGGGTCTTTGGCCTGTGGGTCAGAGCTCAAACACAACAAAAATCAGGAAAAACTTACTGGAACTCAAGACAAATCCCCTTTTTTAAGAACATAAAATAGGTTGCAGGAAAAATAAAGGAGATCACCCGACCTATCCTTATTGCTCCAGTACTTACGGCCAGTGCTGGCAAAGAAAATGCAGGCAAAGCTTCAGTAAATGAACAGCAGCAGTGTAATATCATCAGGGTAACAGCTGTTTGTCATAGCTACAGTTTCTTGCAGCTATCCGTGTACTGAGTGTTTGTATGACAGTTCTACTATGATCCAGATGTCAGAGCTGGCTCTGGGAGTCTAATCTGCTCCTTCAAAGACTTCTTAAAAAAAATATGAAGGACACTTTCTGACAACCCGGGGGGACCAACCTTGACAGCAAGGCCCCACGGTTTGAGCATGACGTCACTCCCTGTGGTCTCTAGCCAGCACCCATGGATGAACAGCACTTTTCATTTCACGAGAAAAACTGCAAAAGCACTGGAGCGAAGCAGCAACGTTCAATAAAAGAGTGTTGTTTTACCAGGCTTATGAAACACTCTGTAGACTTTTTCTCCCTGCTGTATGATGAATTATTGTTAGGTTTGAAATGTTTAGGAGGAACCCATGTGCGATGCAGCAGCTGCTCCTCTATAAGTCTGACTAGTGTGAATTTGACTGGTCTTTTTCTTTTCTTTTTTCTGTTTTGTTGTGAAAAACAGGCTTATGGGGATTCTGTCAACACAGTGAAACATGAATCCATTCATTAAACTTCCTGAAGCTAAGGCTAAACAACTTTACCCATTTCTGATTCAACTCAAATCTTTTTTTTTTTTTTTGTCAAGACGTCACCTGTCATACAAACAGGATATGTCTTTGTTAGGTCTAATTGTTTTGCTGGTTTCTTATCTCCATTTGCCCCTTCAAGCAAGACAACACAAACATGACCCAGAGGAAGCCGGGAACCTCAAACTCTTCAACACCCCATTATCTTTTTCACACCAAGAAGAAGAAGAAGAAAAGAATTATCCCACATGAAGGCAACAACAATTCGGTCGAATAGAACAGTGATGCCTGATCCAGAGAGGAAATGCTCTGACTCAAGTGTGAAGAGGAAAGCCACAAAGCTGACCTCATTAATCTCAAAAGTTCAGTTTTACTAGAACGTTTAGCACATTGCAAGTAAAGATGCTAAATAAAAAGTTGCTACAGAGTGGACATACATCATGTCTTTTCTTTAAACAGCTTTGCTCGTTTTGAGGGAACTCTAACCCTAAGAAAGCATTTGACTGAAGAAAAAATGTAAATATGCCTTAAAGTTTGGGGTGTAACACGTCGAACTACATTGATATACATCAGTTAAATGATTCAATGACATCAATGCAAAACTACATCAATCCATATTGTCATCTGTTATCTCATAATATGCCTGATGTGGATCTATCACACAATGATTGTGTTAGATGGGCACATGATGTTGCATCATATCCATCACAGGCTTTGAAAAAATTGTATCGACAGACTTTGTGATATTGTGAAATATTGTTCTGTTATCAAAACAAATCTATATAGTATTGAATTGTGATAAAGCTGGTGATTTACACCCCTACTAAATTGCTGTGTCACATTTTGCCCAAAATTGTAAAAGAACAAATTTCAGTTTATATTTTGAGTTAATTGCCATAAAGAAAGCAGGAGAGTAAAAATAGATATTTGTTGCTCCAGGCCATCTGAAGAAAGAATGACGTAAGTCATCGGGTACAAGGAAATCACTTCATACCAGCTAAAGCCAATTTTATTAGTCATCAGTTTAGTTTATGTGAATATCTAAATACATTCACCCTACAAAGTAGTTCCTCCTAATAAATAAAATAAATAAGTTATTTACTCAATTTGCTCTTTATTGTTTTGGTCTGTGTATTTTATTTTATTATATTTTTTAATGTTTCAACACTTTTATATAGAATTTCAATTGTTTTTTGATGATTTATTCTCAGTTTTTTGCATAACTGGTACTGTATGTCCACCAGACAGTTTTATCCTCTTGGATTTTACTTGGTGTGCATTTTGAATTTCCCCAAGCTATTTATGATTAGTGAAAGCTCATAAACATAGGAGTAAAAATATATAAAATTGACCTAAAATTTAAAAATAAAATGTACAATCTATTCCACCTGCATAAGGACAACTGGTCAAAAAAAGTCCTCAACATTAGTATGCAAGGTCTCAGGAGATTATCTGCATAAATACAGTATATGTGAGGACAAGCTTTAACAAGTTAAGCAGTTTTGTTGAGGCCCTCCATGGTTTTCAGTGGACCCCACATGGCCATCCCATCCCAACATTTCTGGAGGCATCGCTGTCCTTAGTAGATTTATCAAGTCTTAATGTCAACAGTGATCAGAACTGCGGGCAGCACTAATACGGTCTTATTCTGGTGAAAATATTTGCGTCCCATAAACACATTTTGTAGGATTTAGCTCATTGTTAAGAGCACTACTAACTCTGGATACAATGCAGCAAAGCCTACTCAGTCCAACAGTAATGAAATTCTGTGTAAAAATCTATTTGTGGGACTAAATTTAGAACATAAATTATCAGTCAGCAGCTTGGAGCAAATAAACCACACTAGAAATGAACATAGAAAACGAATGGGAAATGTCGACACTTAGATCACCCACAGGTAGAACTTAATTATGTGGCTTCTCAACATAATGGTAGGAACTTTAAAGCAAGAGAGTTGAATATATATTTACAAACCACTTCGTCAGCTTCATGCTTTTTAGTGTTATTTGATGTAAGGATTTACTCCCTATTTAACTTTGTTATTCTGGAGTATTTTTGTAGAATAATTACTTCAAATCAAATAAAAAAATCTAAGCCAGACAACTCTGTGTCTGTTTTGTTTTACACAGTTAAAATGAAAAATACTCCTGTTTCAGGTGGGGGTGGGGCGGATCGTGAATGTGGGGGCAGGAGGCTTCCTTTTCTCTTATTTAATATTAAACCAGACTGTTTCCATAAGACAAGTTAATCCATTGGAGGCAGAAAAAAACTTAAGTAAAGTTGTTAATACACATCATATAAATATTTGCCTGGGGTGCCGTGACTTTCACACAGCTATTACAGTTTTACTATACTGAGCACTGCCAAGTTTGCATTTACCACCATTCCACTCAAAAGGATTGTTTTCCCACAAAAAGAGGCATGAATGTTGGTAAAGGGAGAAGTACACAGATATGTTGCCCCATTCTAGAGACAATTTTTGTGACATTTTGTAATAAAGAAAGCTTCTGACTTTCCAAAAACCATACCAATGTGTTTGTTTCTCTACCAATCAGTCTTACCTTCTGCATCAAACTCAATGACGTGACAGTTTGATTGTTTGAGGCTCCACGGACAGTAGAAGACAGAACCTCCCTCTGTAACGTTGACCTGCCTCGTGTTGGCTTTGGGAGCTCCAACGACCACACTTGCACTATAAAAGAGAGAGGCACAGTGAAAACTTTCATTTGGTTCAAATGTTAAAAGATGACAAAAGCGTTTAAGCCGACACTTAAATGGTTGCTAAGGTTTGTGACTCTAAGCCAGTTTCCAACTGCCTTCCAGGCCTTCTCCGCTGACTGTTTTAAACACGATGCAGTACACTCGTTTTACGACTTAAGAGAACTGCACGCTTGTCTCAGATGCAAAACATTTCAACAGGTTGCACACCGTTTGCTGGAAGCTGCCGCAATCTCATGTGCACATGTTGCCCTCGCAGACACATTCTCTGCACCTGTACGCTGTCAAACACACAAGGAGAAACATTTGCATGGTCACACGTCCTTCTGGGGGGCATAACTCATCAGGGAAACAAGAGAGCAGACAGGTTAAGTGGAGTCACACTCTTGTTTCTACAGCTGGATGATTGAAAACAGTGGCCTTGGAGCTCTACTGTACAGCTACAGCAGRAGCAGCCAACAGGCACATAAAATCTGAGTTTACAGGTGACCACACTGATGGACTTGAGATGGAAGGGATTTAGAAATAATGATAAAATAATGAAGACATTCAAGATTTGGGATAAGTGCAGAAAAAAAACCTCCACTAGATAATGTGGCTTAAGAGGGTGGATTAGCCGCTATCTCATTGTGGAACAATTTGACCCAACAAGAAGCAAAGACAGTTAGTTATTTTAACGTGGGTAATCGGAGGCAAGGGACCTTTGAGACCAGACAATGTCTTAGGGGTTTGAGAGCAGGAAGAGCACACCCTTTCCTGGTCCGGATCTTCCAACAGTACACGAGTTTACTTTTAGGCTAAACTTAGTATCCTGCCCCTAAGGGTAACAAGTCAAGAGGGTTCAAGAAGAAACAAGAAAAACCATGAGTGCTACTTTGCAATGTTCCAATGCCTTGTAATCCAATGAATTTATAATTTAAGAAATATCACCTAAGTACAGGACAGCTTACAAAGAAAAGCTGAATCTCATATCACTCCTATCACTTACTATTTAGCCCTACATGTTGCAGATGAGGTAGGATGTCCTGATCCTTTTTCTGATGTAAAGAGCTTTTCAGTCTTTGTAAATGCAAATTTTCTGAACCACACCTTAAAACTGAGCAAGATAAATCTCACAAATGTAATTATCGTGAACTGAATCAATGAATAAACACAACAGTGTGTAGTTTGATTCTTTTTTTATTACGTTTGGTTTTATTGTCGTAGTATTTTATGAACAATAGCATCTGATTAGGATGGCCACTGGTTATCTTTCTCAGGAGGGTTTCTGGACATGTAAGCCCCGATCGGGAGGAGACTCTGGGGCAGACTCAGAATTTGCTGGAGGAATTATCTATCCCCTCTGGCCTGAAAACCCTTTAGGATTCCCCGGGAGAAAAGAATGTCTGGGTTTCCCTCCTTGAAATGTTGTCTCTGCAAACCAACCACAGATAAGCAGAAGAAAATGAATGCAATGATGAATCATTAACATTCTTTCCTAATAAGCGGAAAAAGTAAAGTTGTATGCCAAAGTTAGGATTACGTGCTATATATGGGTACATTAGTATTTACATAAAAGGAATCAGTAATAATGTCATGTATTGACTTTCTGAAGCTGTATCGCCAAGGAACATTGTAAGTGCTGCTTTTTGTTACTTTAGATAAGGGCCAAGGTTAGTGGTATGTGTGAGAGTGAGGGCAGGAATAATGCTACGAAAGAAGATGTGTTCAAAGTCTAGCAGAAATTAGTGAAAATGTAATGATACTCAATTTAGCTATTATGGTTTTGAAACTGTAAAACAAAGGAAGCAAAAGAGTTGCRGAAAACTGCCAGATCCCAAAAGAGAAGTAAATCCCATTTTTGTTGGATGAGGTGAAAATAAATTAAACTATTCACACTAAAAAGGAAGAAACAGCATTTTTCTGCAGGCTCAGAAATATCCCTGAACAGCTAGAGCTCAATCTGTGCAATGATCAAAATCACAGCCAAGTTATCTGGTTAGGTAATCACAGTGAAACAGCTGAATATCTTGTTCCCACTATCTTTAGACCATTTCCTTATCATATAGGAGGAGTTCATATGCACACCTGTCATCTACAAACTATCCACATCTATTTGAGGAGCACATTTCAAAACCCTACTGCATACTTACAATAAAGCTTTTCAGACAAACATTTCTTGGCACACAAAGGAAAAGACACTCCTCTGGAGAGAAAAAAAATGCATCTTCAAGCAGATGTATGCAATCAGTAATACTGTTGGAGGAAGATCCACACAAGACTGAGGAAATTAAAAGCCACAGCGTTTCATGTTGGATCAGATCTGAATAGAGTCCAGCTACGGTTGGCCGTGGCAGTTTTTCAAAGAAGAAAAGTACAGGAAGCAACCAAAAAGCAGCTAATGCTTTAATCAGAGAGTTGGCATTTGATGTTGGTTTTTACTACCTTGCACTGATGGAAGCACATGTGCGAACACAAATTCCCTTTCTAGCACACACTCACGCATTCACACAATAATACAGACTGATAGTAATCTGAACATTTTGTAAATAAATCTGAATTAGCATTTAAGGGTCTGGCTCTTTCAGACATTCCCCACCACTGTACCTTTTCTGTTTGCCATGAGCTTTTGTGTTGTTCACATTTTAAGACTCTCTTGTTTGAGTTTGACCCAGAGCTGCGTTACCATTTCCTTTGTGAACGTAGGGGTCTCCATGCAAAATGATTTAATTAGCAGTAGTTTGGCTCTCCTCAGCTGTTCAGACGTTCTCCAGTGGCTAAACAAAGACTTGTTACAGTGTAAAGAAAGAGGCATCATCACAAGTTTAATATGTCAACAAGGGACAGCTGTAGAACGCAACATGCATCTGAAAAGCAATAAAAAGTCACAATCTAGGATTTGTTAACTCTACTTCAGACACCAGAAACTCCTTTCATTTTTTTAAGCTCTTTAGACAACAGTGAAAATAGTCGTGTTTCCATCCAATTCTAATTCAAATTTTGAGCGAATGTTTTAAATTTCGCAAAAAGGATAGAACGAAGAAATGCGAGTCAGACGTGTTTCCATCAACTGGCTTGAAGTGAATCAGTTACATCAGATGCATGCGTGTAGTAAACAGGAAGTAAAAGTCACATTTCAGGAAAATGGAGAGAAGTTATCAGGAACGTGTTGCTACTGTCAGGAAAGTTGTAATTATTCTGTCATATCAACTAGTTCTGGCGATGTTACATGCYGTCTGGAGACGTAGAGAAAGAAATGCAAATTTTTTTCACGTTACGGGAATAACTGAGAATACGCCGACAGCGGGAGGAGGGTCCAGCTGCAGTCGCTCTGGTACCGGTACCTTTCAGACAGCGGAAACAGCTGATCAAACATGTGAGGTAAATATTCGCTACATCAGAACTTATTCGACAAATGTGTTTCCATTTTGCGTATTAACTCTTTTTCGAAAAACCCAAAAACAACCTCAAGCGAGCAAATCAGCCTTTTTTTTTTTTTTGATCAAGGTCTTTTTATTAATCTTTTTTTAACAAACCACAAAAAAGAACAGACTTACAAAAACACGAAACAAAACACACACACACAAAATCCCTCCCATCCCTCCCCTCCTATACCGGATCCACTGAAACAACCAAAATCGATCTTGTATTCATACAGGTGAGACAATGAACAGGTTTATGTATAATGAAACAATATTGAGCGAATCAGCTTTTATGCGAATTAGAGGAGTTTGTTTGAATCGTGCAGCTTCCATCCACCTTTTCTGATGCAATACTTCAAAATGTACATTAAAAAACCTTGATGGAAACATGGTCATTGAATCAGTAACATTTCTGTTGTGTTACAGCTGTTTATGTACATGAGAAGAGCAATTGTTTTCCATAAGAAAAAAACCTTGGGTGTCAGAGTGGAAGTTTTTCAAAGCGATGCTTAATTTCAAGGAAAACTGCAACTTATTTCAAATCACACGCCATGTTTCCATCCAATTTTAACGCACATTTTAGGCAAACTTTTTAAATGTTGCAAATGCGCATCAGCAAACTAACCTTATCCTTGGTCCAAAAGATCATCTGTGTTTCAACATTTTGGATGTAACTGCTTGAGACTGAAGTGTCTGCAAACTCTAGAAACTTTAGGAGATTGTTTTTGATTGTGGGAAGGACAAATAATTAACTTGTTTTACAGGACAGATATTTGAGCAATGTCCTGGTGATGAAACAGGGAGCAGATGAGGAAAATAACATACTCCGTTCCATCATCTGTCAAACAGAAGCCACTACTGATCTCCACCACCCAGTCAAGCATTAATTAAGCCACTGTAATTTATTTAAAAGGCAAGAAAAGAATGTGTAAATAGCTTTACTGCAACTGAGCGCCATTCATTGGAGGGTCAAGTAATCAGAGGAAATTCTAAAAAAAAAACTTTCACCACACTGTAATTGCCTAACTGAGCCCACTATTTTATGTGAAGTTATGAAACTAGGCTGATGGYGGGCGTTGGAACTCGCTGCTGTGACATTATTGTGTGAAGCCATGGCTAATACAGTTTATGATGAGGTTACAGACTGAGGGTGTCAACAGGCAAATTCCAAAAAACTTCACCCCACCATTTAGCCAAGCACCCCTCCATTCCACATTTAATTGTCTTCCACCCAGCTGCAAGGCTGATGTCACTTGAAGACTATTATAACAGCTTTAAGCTAAAAAGAAGGGGGGAAAAATCTGAATCACATTTGTTAGGCCTTTCAGTGCCGGCTGCAGTCACCATCTGCAGTCATAAACAAGACTTAACGAATGCCGTGACACATTTATAAAAAAAAAAAAAGGAGGGGGTGGGCGGGTTAAAGTGTTCATGGCCTTCAAAACTCACCATCACCTCAGGAAAACAAGCGCAGTGCATAGTGGAATTTACACTAAGCTATCAACACATGCTTAAACAATGAAGTGGTTGCATTTAAGTGCAGTGATGTGTGCCAGAGGCAGCTCTGAGCTAA